TCTATTTACACATAGTAAGACCACTTTATTTATTTACACATAGTAAGACCACTTTATTCATTTACATATAGTAAGATTACATTATTTATTTACACAGAGTAAGGCCACTTTATTTATTTACACATAGTAAGATCACATTGTCTATTAACACATAGCAAGACCACTTTATTTAATTACACGGAGTAAGGCCATATTGTTACTAGCATTTCCGTACTTCACATTACTTTTACACCACAGTTAGTTTAATCCACTGATCATGTTCATAATAGCTTGTTGTATCAGCTTTGAAAATTAGACAAATTAAGGGAAAAGGGGATAAAGATAGGCGTGTGATGAATATGGACCCCTGTATTATCAAGAAGGTTGACTGAGCGCCCGGCACCGCAGCTCATGCCTGTAATTCTAGGGCTGCTAAGGCAGGGGGTTGAGACTATCATGGGCTACAAAGAAAGACATTCTCTAAAAACAAAAATAAAGAAAAAGAATGTTAGTGTAGTGACATCTGGTTAGTAACACGAGGGTAGTGACGCTGGGGTAGTGACACCAGTAATATTGACAGGAAGCTTAGATGGGAGGAATGTGTGTTCAAGGTTAGCCTGGACTCTATAGTGATATCCTGGAGGGGTGGGGAAGAAAGGAAAGAGAGGCAGTTAGAAAGAGATAGACTGATTATACAATCAATCAATCAATCAAAAAATCCACATTTTGGGGTGTTAATCTATAGACATGCACTTTCCAGGAGAGCGGCCACTAGCCACACTGAGCAGTTGGATGGTCAGTGTTTTAACCTAGATGTGATCTCCATTTAAAATTCCCAATGTAGCTATTGATTCTCGAATAAGTGTGTCGATTGATCAGCTCTATTTACTTATTTATTACACTATTTACTTAGCCACAATGCTACTTTTTAGAGTTGTGATACAGAGCGGAAAACAGCAATTTTCTTTGTTTCCAAATTCCAGTTACTCTTTGAGATTTGGAGGAAAGGACTCAGAATTCTCAACAATTTCAGAATTATGATTATTTTAAGCATATATCTAAAATGCATGTTTAAAGCACACTAGATTTGTTGGTTTTTACAAAGGCCTACTGCCTACAGGAATATCCAAACAATATAACATAATTTCCGATTCAGTTTTCCCAGGAAGGTAACGGCCCGTGGTGGAATCATATGTGGACACTGCCCCTTTCAGGACTTATGTTGAATTGAACCTGTCTTAGCTATTGAGAGAGTAGTCAAAGGACTTGCATGAACTCTTTAGTATGTGCTTTATCTTTTTTATTATTCAATCAGCATGCATATGCTTGCATATACATTATTGACTAGGATCTGCATATGGGGAGTTACAATCATATCTCATAAATTATTGATGGAAGAGGCCAATAAATTAGATAAGAGTCATTCTTAGACTACTCATGGGCATCTGTAAACTTTGCGGTTTTACTTGATTTAGTTCGCAGAGACTAAGGTATCAGGAAGAGGGCCCAAGGCTCTATTGCTCCCTGAGTTTCCTAAAACCTGTATTTTTACTTTAATTATTATTTTTAATTTTATGTGCACATTTGCCTGTCTGAGGGTGTCAAATCCCCTGGAACTAGAGTTGCAGACAGTTGTACACAGCTATGTGAGTGCTGGGAATTGAACCCAGGTCCTCTGGAAGAGCAGAGAGCGCTCTTAACTATCAAGCCGTCTCTCCAGCCCCGAACCTGTATTTTTTGAAAATTCAAATTCTCCAAAATTTATATCAAATATGTTACTTGCTTCTAAAGTGTTCATCCCTCTTTAGAGAAAGATTATTGGAACTTATTAAAGACTTTTATTCTACAGGTTCAACGATGTGCTCCTCATGGTACCTGGATGATCCCGAGCCTCTGTGGGTCAGGAAGAGAGGGACTCAGGTAAGCAGTGTTGAGTAGTGCCATCCATGGGCTCACATCAAACAGATGAATGACAGCTGCCAACAGACGTGAAATAAAAAGTTAGCAAGGCATGATGGCTCACACCAATCATTCTAGCACCTGGGAGACTGAGGCAGAAGGATTGCTTTGAGTTTGGTGCCATCCTGGGCTGCATAATGAGATCTTGTATTATTAAAAAGGGCTCCAATCCAAAACCAAATAGCGGCATGAAACAAAACAAAGCAAAACAAAAAAACCAAAGCACCAAAAAAATCAGGATGACATTTTTAGAGGGATGTGAAGGGTTTTTAGCACAGCTGTGACAATCAGGTAATGCAAACCTTAACTAGCTAGAATTAGTCATTCGGTAGTGTTTAAGTCCTTGAAAACATAATGTGTGCACTTAATGTGCACAATTTTATCTTTCAATTATAAAAGCAAAACAAAATAAAAGTGAACAAATCTTCCAGGCATCAGTTGCTGGTGGGGACCGAGATTTAGTGATTTGAGCATATCCCGGCTCCTGCAGCGCTCAGGCTGGGGGCCGTTGCATTGACGCACACGGCCCCTCTAAAATTCTCTTCTGTTTTTGTGTTTGTAGAAAGTTTGCCTTTCAGGAGATGATCTGATCTAAGTTTTTAAATATTCTGCGGAGAGACCCCAGCAAGATGTGTTGTGTATTATCTCTGGGTCTCTAGCTCTAGAGTCTGAGGTGCACTCCTTGGCCCCACTGTCTTTAGGAAGCAGTTGAACGAATCGTGAGCTGCAGAGTGGCAGGAAGCAATGTGATTGGTTAGTCTATATGGCCAGGCCTTTGGTCCAATTAAGAAGTGATCTTATTTACCTGCTTTGTGCACATGAGCCTGGAAATCGCTTGCTATGTTAGTGAATGATTTTGTTTTTGGATTTCCACAATTCATGGCACTAAGAGAGACTCTGAATGAAAAAAAAATCAATAAATTATGCAGAAATAGTAATGTACAGATAAATAATGAAGAAAATGCATTGAGCACAGATCAGTAATGAGTACTTCTGGTGTATGTGTTAATACTTTTGAATAAACAGGAAACTGAGGTCTATTGGAAACACACGTAGTTGGCAGGTTTGGGATGGGGGTCGAGTTCCTGATAGAAATACAGGCCAGTGTGACATTTGGCTCGTGGGCCCCAGTGGCTCCTGAGTTAGGATTGTAGGAGTTTGTGAGGAAAATATAGAAATGTCACCTATGGTCAGTTTGGAAATCACAGTGCAAAGCAATAGCTGTTGGTCCTTTTTAACGCTGTGTTCCCTTATGCTATACCACTAAAACCGCTGGCCCTCTGGGGCATGCAGTACTCCCAGACACACAGACACATGCACAGGTGCAACAAGGTGTCCCCACAGACACTTTTAAGAGTGGTAGGAGGTGGCTGGAGGCTTAAGGTGCTAAGGAGACAGGATAAAAACGTAAGCAATCTTGTAAGTACGCAATGGACTAAGAACAAGTGAGAGTCAACAGAGAGAATGTTGTCTGTCATGCTGGCCCTGTTTTTTCTCTCATATAGAGAGGTCTAGAAAGGAACCAGCAGCAGGGCTTGGAGTGAGAAAGAGTGTCAGTAATAGGGACAGAACTATTGTTAGAATATCTGATCCACGCATATGAAACTGTCCTGAGCCCCATTGTGTGTGAGATAAGTACACACTAGCACGTCTAACTATAGGCTTTTTCTTTCTTTTCAAAGTTCGTGTTTGACTTCACCAAGTGGATGCGCCCCCTCCAACTGATCCTGGAACATCAAAGGTCTCAGTTTTTACCTCTGTGTGGGTAAGGAAAGAAGAGATTTATGTGAGTAATAGCTCAAATTTTATGTTCTTGGGTTCGGAGGTTGGCTTATGGGTGTTGCTTGCATCTTCCCAAAGTAATAAATGGACATAATTCATAAGTAAAACCAACAAAGGCCAGTGGTGGGAATCAAAAGCATTGATGGAACTGTGCTCAGCCTGGGGGTTTTTAATTAATGTGATTTAGCACCAGTAAAATCCAATAGAGAAGATAAGTGCCAAATCATTCATTTTCAGGGTTGCTTAATATTCTATTTCCTTCTTTCTTGCTGCAATTCACTTATGTACTTTTTCACTGATAGCACTCAGGCTATTAATTTCTTAAGGAGAAAGGGTGCGGAACAATGAACGAAATGATCTGTTTATTCTAGTTGCATAGGAAGATCATGGTGCTTCACTTCTTGCTGGTGCCTTCCTTAAGGCCCAAAGCGTCTAGGCAAAGGGTTCATGGTGAATACAGAGATAAAAGGATGTCAGAACACTGATTGGCTAGAATGTAAAAAAAGATACACATTTTGGGGGGAAGTGACCAAATTTATCAATTATGTGGAGAATGGACACTGGACAGAGCAATGTATTGTTCAGTGATGTTGCTCTTGGGCCTTCTGATTTATTAATTTATCATGTGTATACATAGATATATACATATCTTAGCATATCAATGCAGGAAGTAGTGAGCAAGTGGAGAAAATATATCAATAGACTTGTGGAGCAGTGAGCTTTCCGAGGTGTCTGAATGCAAGAGTTTTGACTAAACTGTAACTCAGGGAAATGTCAGAAAAAGAAAATCCCCCTTATTTCTGCTGTGAGGTATGCTTCTTGCACAAGATGAGCACAGTCAATGACTTTGGCCCATGCTCATCCCTTCTTTGAATTATTTTATTATAATGGGGCGAGCACAAGAACGAATAAAGATGGCCAATTTTGCAAAAATAGAAAAAGAATACAAAGGAAAGAAGCATTATTACTCGTTGTTCCTTTCCAACCCTCATAATCCACATAGATGTGGTCTTCCTGGCCATGGCCCTGAAGGACATGTCCTGTGCTGTGAACCACGGTATTGCTGTTTGGATTGTGTTGATAGCTGGCCACTGGTTTTATTTAGACAAGAAATAAATTATATGTATAATAATGATTGTTTGAATAATTGTATAATTGAAAAAAGGCTAAGCATGGACGATTTCTGTGCCTGTGATAATCAGCTTTACTGATCTAATTCTGTCCAACAAAGGCCATCCTCTTAAACAGGACCTGTCCATTGTGTCTGTGATCACAGCTAATGTTTTGCTCCAGGGTCTCAACTTTCATTTTGATGCACCCTTAAAGTTGAGTAAAGGAATGGGCTCACATCTCAGACGATTACTTAAAGGATGTAGACCCGGGTCCAGTTAGGAGCAAGTTTTATAAAACAAAAATTTGAATTGAAAATTTTCATTTTATTCTTGTTGTGGAGTGGGTGAGCACACACCGTTGTGCGTGCCTGGAGGTCTGAGGACAGCTGTTTGGAAGTTGACGCTCTCCTTTTTATGGTAGTAGATCTCAGGCCCGTGGCTCTCTCAGCAAGTACTTCTACCCACTAGTCATCTTGCCAGTGCAAAGATCTGATTGATTTAGACTTATTAGTGATTGATAAAAGCCCTGCATCTTTAAGTGACCCATGTTGGATTAAATCATATTAACTGCAAATTTAAATTCATTTCTGGGCCTGGGCCTACACCACATCTTTTTACTTTATTTATATGTTGGTCCTTTATGCCTTTGACACAAGTTAGCGATAAACCACCTACGCCTAGGCTATTGAATGCAGAAGTACAAAAGTCCTTGAGTCCTTTCAGCACACAGGTGGAAGCCAGCGTCTCCACCTCCACATCGGCTGTGGAGGATGGAAGGTGTTTCTCCTCTGTGACACATACACTCTACAAAGAATGGAGCCCACAGACTTAAAATCTTTTAATGGGCTGACTCATGAGGGATTGGGCGACTAATCCAAACTTGGTGACTCTTACATTCCCGTTGTGATGGGCTCCAAAATAACTCTACTTCTTACACACTGACTCATGTCCTCTTCAATTTTTAATACAACAGAAACTAAACTTCACCTCCCTGCTCGAGAGAAACAAATGCAGTTATTAAGACTGTGTGCTGCTGCCCACGGACACCTTAACCTCATTTATCTTTTTCAAGGGACCTGATTGTGCGTTGCCGAGGGTCTACCCGGAAACAGGGCTCCGAGAGGCCCCATGCTTCACGCATTAGTTGGCTGGCTCGTCATCTTTATTCTGTCAGTAGCTTGTTCACTCCTTAATTACATCAAGTGGATAGATGCTTGCCTATGAATAAAATAAAAGAATGCATATAGGAGCAGCAGAGGGAATCGCCCAGAGTTTGTAGTTAATAAGATTCAGCATTCCTAACTCCGCTCATCATGGACGGCTTTTGTTTGTTCACAGAATTTTTTAGTATTAAGATTTGTTTTGCAGCCTTAGTAGTTTGCACACTCAGCCAATGATGAATGCCTGGACCAAGAACTCACTGAGGTGGGAGTGAGCAGAGTTAGGCAGCGCGAATGTCCTTGCTGTAACCGGTACGTGGTTCATGGTTGTTCACGTTTAGTTCCCCTAGTCTGAAATATCAGAAAGTGTTCTTAAATCTGAAACTTACTGAACATTGACTTTGGGTGCATGTGGAGGATTCCACACGTGTCCTCGTGATGGTTACACTCAAAATACGGGCGGGTTCACTGAAACATTGTTAAAACATCCTTCTGGTCACAGGTGTAAGGTGACTAGGTGACAAATGAACCCTTATTTCTTTTGGGGTAATATTTTTAAGATATTTCGTTGTGTTTGTGCAAATATTCCAAAAGTTGAGATAAAATTCCAGACTTGCAACACTTCTTTTACCATGCATGTCGGAAAGAGGGCGCTCAGCCGGGCTGTTGAGAGCTCTGGCGTGAGCTCCTCATCCTGTGAGTTCATGGCTACAGCATGCAACACACTAGTCTCATAGTTTGTATGAAGCCAGAATTCAGGGATTTCTGCAATGACATTTCTTGTCAACTTACAGCGAGATGTCAGGCAAAGTAGTTGATGGCTATGTGTGTGTGTGTGTGTTTGTGTGTATGTATGTGTGTCTGTGTGGGTGTGTTTGTGTGTATGAGTGTCTGTGGATGTGTGTATGTCTGTGTGTGTTTGTGTGTATGAGTGTCTGTGGATGTGAATGTGTGTATGTGTTTGTGTGTATGAGTGTCTGTGGATGTGTGTGTGTGTGTGGATGTGTGTGTGTGTGTATGTATGTGTGTGTGTGTGTGTGTCTGATCTGCCTGCAAATGCTCATATCCATGGCTGGCTGCTACTGGGGACCATACTTCCTCTCCTCATGAAGCCTTCCTCAGTGAGAGTCCTTAGAACATGGCAGCTAATTTCCCCTGAGCCGTGAGTACAGGACAGAATTAGGTAGGTCCTTAATGTATCATACAGCCTAACTCCCTGAGGCACAAACCAACACTTCCATATTGTTCTACTTGCCACATTGACAGCCACGATCCACAAGTGACCAGATCACACAGGCTATGTGCCACAAGCTGTGGACCTGGCCATCATCTTGGAGGTTGCCTACCACACTGACTGTTCAAAAGTTAGACAAAGTTAATAAGAAGGGCAAGGAGAGTTCCCAAGAGGGATTGACATGAACTGAGGGAGCTGAATAATCATCATATGTCCTCTTCACTGCCACATGCGTGTCTCAGTCCTGCAGAAAGTAAGCTATCAGGTCTATCTCAGTACAATGCCAGGAACTTGATTTCAGGTTCTCATTTTATGGTTATTGACTTTGTAGTCATGACTCAATAAATGAGGGAGCTGATAAACAAAGGTAGGACTAACTAAACCAAAACCAACACAACCCTGACCCATGATGAGAATTCTGGGGTGTCTGAATCAATGATTTTGATTAACCCTGTAACTCTGAGGTCCATCGTAAGAGAGGCCGGTGAGATGACTCAGTGGGTCAAGGCACTTGCTGCCAAGCCCAAGAGCCTGAGTTCAATCCCCGGATCCACATGGTGGAAGGAAGAGAACTGTTCCCGAGGTTTTCTTCTGATCTCCCCATGTGTACTACAACATGCACCTACACACAGACAAAGACATACACACACAAAGAAACATACACATAGACAGAGACACATACAAGGCACACAAACATTCAGCTAAAGACACATACGCAAAGACACACATAGACAAAAGCACACAACACACACACACATAGACAAACACACATAACACACACAGACACACATTGACAAACACAACAGACACACAGACTAACACACACACA